AGGTTATTTCGCCACTTCAGATCTATGTCGTGTTTTACCAAATAGTGAAGCTTTGAAAACATGGCCAGCGGATATTTATTGGATGAAAATGAATTTAACTGGGATTTGCTAATTTTGATATCAAATCATTGTTTCATCACAATTCTTTTCTAGATGACAATGTACGAAAAGTTAAATTAATTAGTTACAGAAAATGAATATTCAGCTGTTCATTATAACTTAGAAAATAAATCTTACGAACTAAAAATTTGCATGACGTTTGAATCTGATGCACATTTTCGTATTTTCCTGTGGAATAGAGAACGATTTAATTTTGATCTTTCGGAGCCGAATAGGATGAAAGTAGGTAATTACATAGAGAAGTCTTTTGAAGCTTTCTCCCATCCTCGTTAAATACTTCATAAGAACAGAAAAAAAAAACAAAGTAATACACGCGTGCGTTACATTTTATAATGAGTATTTGAGGGTTATTTTCATGGAAAGTGGTGGAAAAAATCATTTTATAAAAAGTAAATGTTTAAATATGGAAAGCATCAAAATAAAAATTGACGACAAGATTTCATTGATTACTAATCGATGACTAGTTGGGGAAGAGAATCCTAGGCTCAACTACAACCACTCACTCTGAAGACAATGTTTCTTTAAAATCAGTTTTGTATCAAATAGATTCTTCGATTCATATGATGAAATAGTTTAACAATAAGAATAGCAAATAATCGACAAAGAATGACTAAATCATTGTAGAAACTGAGGGTGTGGGTGTGGATATCAATACGAATCTTTTATAAGCACCTTCATACCCGTACCCTATCTCAGAACTACAGTTAAAAAATTGAACAAAAAAACTTACGTCAATTAGTCATTTCATGACGCCGATAAATATATTACTTGTGAATTATTAAGACAGATGGGCTAGACTTGATTTTAATTTCAGAGCTTTTTTTCTTCCTTTTACATGAATATTTTGATATGTGCTGTTGGCAGAAGTACGTCATTTAGCGTCGAAAAAAATAGCACATCTGCCAGAACGGAGCAAACCATATTAATCATAACAAAAGTCTACAAGACTATCAACATCTAACATATCATTGATTTATTCTTAAATTATATTCTGTATGAAAGCAAAATGCTTCATATGACATATTTCTTCTGTCTAATTTTCATTCATTTGACTACAGCTTCACTACAAATGAATCTTCATTTTACAACAAATAAAGTAAGTGAAAATGAATATTACGATGGCATAGGTGCACGATATAATTGTTTCCAACTTGCTTCCAATATGCAATATGCGAGTCTTACTCGACAAATCTCGTCCTATTGTATGAGCGAAGCATCTTTCCAATTTCATATTGAAATCGATTCCTCGTTGCGAACATTTTCTTTCGCTGATCTTGAGAAAATGAATATCACTTGTGAAGATCTTTATTTATGGTCAACACCCATCGATACTATTGAGCAATATAAAATCTATTTAGAAACAAAAGATTTCTCTTTATCGACATGGAT